GGGTTCTTCTCAGAGATGCGCCAAGACCGGTTTTTCGGTACTCGCCGAGTAACGGTGCCTTGTGCCCCCGGAAAGCCGGTGTTCTACTTCCCAAGGCTGCCTAGCAACAAGTGAAGCCGTGGTCATAACCCACCGCCCGGCTTTCCTAATTGGCTCCCTCAGCACTCGGCACAGATTGGAGCGTTTGGGGCGAGTACTCGGTATCGGCGCATCGCTAGTTCTTATGCTGGACAAACGCATGGCGGCTTTATTCACTCGCCATCATAATGGACCAACACCGGTGAGACCATCATATCTGGTGCACTATATGGCCAGAAGTCAGGGGGACAGTCATGGGGGGGGAACACCCCATGACTCTTCACCAAACTGCCCCCACAAGGCCGGAAGAGCCCAATTGTCTACAATGTCCACTAAAGGTTCTGTTAATACTCCATCATATTGCCCAAAATGTCCCCTGTGTTTGACCCGCAATGGGCCCTCATACTGGAACATCTCTTATTAGGAGGGGCCTCTGGGACCTCCTCTGCTGCAGTTCTACGGTGAATCAGAGACGTGGAACAAGCATGCAGCCAGGGAAGTCTGTTGAGGGTCAGTCAGTCACGATGAATGGAGATCCCCCCCTGCACACCGATGAGCCCGGGCATGGAGCAAAACCGTGACCGCCGCCCCCTCCTCCTGACCCAATCAGCTGCATTTCTCATTGAACACACTTCCTGTCCCTTAAAGGAGAACTCCAGGGGGACAAAAAAATATGTATTAACCCTTCCACAGGGGTTGTCCCCGCGCTGCAAGGGTTTTTGTGTCTAGGTCAGGGGTGGGCAACCTCGGCTCCCCAGCTGGGCTGAAACTACAAATCCCATCATGCTTTTGCCTCTGGGAGTCATGCCTGCGGCTTGCAATGCCTTATGGGATTTGTAGTTTCAGCACAGCTGCAGAGCCAAGGTTGCCTGCCCCTGGTCTAGGTGCTCATCCGATCCTCGGACTTGGCTTGCTCTTAGACCGGTCCCTGGAGTCTCTCCAGCACCCCATGGTCCCCCCGACTCATCACATTCTATACAGCGTGTATAAGACGCCGGGGAACATTCCAATGCTGCGGCGGAGGAGGAGGCGGCGGCACGGGATTCCGCGATGGGAGGCCGGCTGAAACCTCCACCATAATACTTCACACGGCCCGTCCCGATCGCCGGCGTTTACTGGCCCTTTAACAGCCGGATCCGGCCAATGATTTTGGGGTGTAAAATATAAGAAACGTTTCAGCCGAAAACACACAAAATGAGGAACGCGCCCCGATCACCACCGCCGCGGCGGAGGAGGATCGGGTTCAGTCTCTGCCACGTTAGACCCTGTTATCCCATCGGAGGAAGTCCTATACATCTGTACACAAGGTCACGTGACGTCCGGAGGTCACATGACGCCGGGAGGTCACATGACGCGTCCGTTATATTTACATAAAGTGACTCGTAGAAAAATAGAAATCTCTGTAACAGTCCTGAAGCTGCCTGCGTGCGTTGTGTCCGGTTGATGGTAGAGTGTCGATAGCGGGGGGGCCCGGGGCAGAGCAGC